CCGGGTGCTGGAATGGCACTGCCAGACTCTCATTACATTGCAAACAAGGGAGTTCTTGTTCTAGGAAATAAGATAAGATGTTTCACTGATAATAAGCAGCAGTTGTTCTTACTGATTAAAAAAAAAAAAAGGTACCTAACTACTGTTTTCTTATATAATATACATACTGTGACCTGCTACTAGGTTTTACTTAGCAAATCAGCAGGAAACATAAGATGTACAACTTAAAATGGATATAACTCAAAGCAAAAATTCAGAAATCCCAGAGCAGAACATTACTAAAACTCAAAATCTGGGACACACTGTCCTCATAGGAAATTTTGCAAATTATTTCATTCTGATTAAAGGGGGGGAAAAAAATTCGCCAAACGAGCTTTAGAGTGTCAGAACTTCCCAGGAAACAGCAATTCTGAGTTAAGCTGTATCTTAATTCCAAGAAGCCGGAGCAAGATTTTTTGCTAGGAACAAAGTCCAAGATGATCTGGATGGAGGGAATTCTGCAGGGATGCACAGCACAAACAGAGAGGTTAGAGGAGGTCAGGCACAGCTGGCTGAGCAGAGCCCTGGTGGGGCAGTAGGGCACTGTCAGACTAGAAAGGGAAGAAAAAAGGGGGTTCCCTTCACTCCTCTGCCCACGGTCTGCAGAAAGCAGCAGGTCAGACCTGGAGAGGGAGAAGTGTCCCACTCCTGTGTGGGATGGACAGTGACATCCACGCTCAAGGCTCTGCTGGCCAGTGCCCACACGTTCCAGAGGGGCTCAGGAAAAGGCACCACCATCAGAGTGGGTTGGGGCCTCCCCTCCTGCCTTTCCAGACACACAGCAGCAGGGGAAGGTTCCAGCAAGCACCAACCATGGCAAAGATGGGATTCCAAGCAGTTATTTTGTGATCAGGACAGCAACAGGTTACAGGGCGTTCCTCTGGATGCCTTCATCTTCTAATTTTTGTGCTCATGACCTGTCCTGGCCTTAATCCCAGCCCTACTTAGTAACAAAATTACTTAATTACTACATTAAGTAATTTATTTAATACTTAACCAATTTCATTAGATTATCCAGCTTTCACAAGTTACACAGATCACCTCTCCAAAGACAAGATTTTTACTCTCAAAGCATTTATGGCCTTCTTCTTTTCCACCCAGGCAGTGACGGATGGAAAAGCCAAATTAAACAAATAAGTAACTACCTCCATAGTCTTGGCTTTATTGCTGGTCAATAGGGCACACAATCAAGACCTGAAGCAGAACAGACAATATATTTGTCAGGCTTATGGAACTTACCCTGGAGTTTATTGCACAACTCAGGACCTGCATCACATGTGTGTGTGTGTGTGTGTGTGTGTGTGTGTGTGTGTGTGTGTGTGTGTGTGTGTGTTGCTGAGGTGGAAAAAGTTGTGCTGCTGAACAAAGGGTTACTGTCTGCTGACACAGACAAGACAAAAAACTCACTGACCTGGAAGTTGAAGTACAAAATCTACTTTCAGCCTGAGTGCCCACTGCTCATACACATTAAATGAAGAAGCCTTGTTTGAGCCAAGTATGATCTTAATCTGCTCTTCTCGAGCATGGAGAGCACATGGCAGCACCAGGACTCCACCCAGCAAATCCCATCAGCTGCAACACCACACCAAGGACGATGCAAGACTGAACTGCCTCTTAGAGTAGATTTTTTTCTGTCACAAGCTCACTCTAAATTATCTAGCATAAAGAAATTTATCCATGCAAGCCAACAAGATTGGCAAGGGGAGAGTTACACAACAAGATACTGGCAGGGGAATAGAGTAGTAAAAATCTAGAGATGGAGCAACCTGCGAGGAGTCTCTAAGCTGTATGGCAACACAAACACAGCACAGACTGCAAAGGCTCAGAGAAGGACTCCAGAGGAGCAGCAAGCTCAAAGTCAAAGCATGGCAAGCAGGTCAGTCTCGGGTAAGTGGCAAAGCAATACAGGAGAGGAGAAAAGATATATCAGCTTAACAGCCTCCAGTCCCTGGAAAGGCTTAAATCAATGACTGGACGCTTGTTTCACAGAATACAAATACCACACAGCACCAGGTGTGCCAACTGGAATGACTGGGATGACTCCACTGAGGTCAACAGAGCTGTAACAGCTTGCTCTGGATTTACAGCTGGAACATCAAAGCACTACGCAAATCTAAGTAATTAATCATCAGCCAAATTCCAGGCCAGGAGTTTTATAATAATTCAAGCCTTTTTCAACAACCCAAGCAACTGTGTTCACATTCCAGTCTTAGATGTGTATTCCAGTTCCAGCAGTGAGGATGTTGATGGCAGAAGCTGCTCTCCTGCCAGCACTGCTGGGTCCTGCAGCTCTTGCAGCAGCTCAGGCTGCCAGGTAAGGCCTCCATGGCATTGGGCACTGTGCTGCCAAGGTGAGGGGCATGTCCCTCATGTGTGCATGTTGTTGTGTATGCACAAAACACAGAGACAAGCTAACCACCAAGAGAGGAAGAAGAAACAGGTGGGTAGCTAAAACTATAGACAGCAGCTGGCATAAAGTGGAAATCAAAATCTCTCACATAAGAATTGCTGAAGACATCCCACTAGAAGCAGAGTTTTGCCTCCCCTGGACTCCTGACTTTTACAGAAACTGGGTTTATAGAAGCTCAGGCCAGTGGCACCTTTGTGACACACCCTGAGCAGTGCTCTGCTCTCAGTCAATAAAGCTCCTCAGTCCTCTGCTCTGTCCACTGTTTCCTGCCCAGAATCCGTGGTCCACCAGGAAAACATCCACATCAGAGAAGGGGCTTTACTCACTTGCTGAAGTGCAGACATTGAGCAGAAATGCTCAGAGTTTGCCTCCTACATACAAATTGCACCTTGTAGACGCTCAGCCCCACACTTGTACTATGATTTCAGAGTGCCAGGGCAGGAATGTGGCAGCACAGGCCAGCCCTCCTAAAACCTTGACTTCATTTTAACCCACCCTTTCTCAATGGTCATCTTCTCTAGGTGAGCTTCACGTGCTGGTTTCTTCACCACTCCCTTCCTCCAAACAATCTGCCATCTGTGTGCCCCAGGTCCTGCAGCAGTGGCTGTGCCAGTAACACCAACTGTGAAAATTACCCTCCTGTCACATCCCAACACCGAGGCTCTCAAAACTGAACATCTCTCTGGTCACACTCTCCACCAAGGAATAACAACCACTACTTCCTGCTCCTTAGGCACTATCATCCTTCCAAGGAACAGCTGGGATAGACACTATTTAAAGAACCAGTCAAGGGAGGAACCAGTACAGCTACAGCTCAGTTGCCAGATCTGCCATTGAGAGCACCTGAGCTCCTCCTGAGACTCTGCCATGGCTCTTCCTTTGCTGTGCCTCAGTTTCTCACCACACCTGTTGGCCCTGGATATTTATATGGCAAACTCTTCTTTGCCACACTGCAAATTCCAGCCTGGGAGCTGAGAATCTCTGCCAACTGTCCTGATGCTCCCTGTCATGGACAGGATGATCTCAGAACATCCCAGCTGGCAGGAAAGAAAGGATGAAGTGTGAGACTACTTTTGTGGCCCTTTAAAGCAAGCTGAACCCAGAGTAAATATTCAATGTGGCCAAGGCCCCTTCCTCCCCAGGCAGCAGTTTGCTCACACAGTGCTTAAGGCCCTCCAGCCTGTGGTGGCCCTGCTCATGGAGCCATGGTTATCACTGTAAGGCTGCTGGGGCAGCTGCCACTGCAGTGACATGGTGATGCCCACTCTGCCCAAAATGCTGGGATGAGCACACAAGGCACAGGAGTGACCACTTGGGTGTGCTGGTGAAGGGAGAAGATGAAGCAGATCTTTAGAGCTCAGTTCTGCACCAACCACATTAAGGAGACAAACCACGGAGACCACAAGGTGTGGCAGCACTTCTCTGCACCTGCCTGCAAGGCAGCACATGTGACTCGTGCCCTGCCAGAGCACCAGCTGCTGTTGTGAACACGATGCACATTCCCAGCAGCAGCAGCAGCCTCTGTCATGCTCTCATCGTGCTCAGAGATGCTCTTGCTGCAGAAAAACTAGTGCTAGTTCTCTGGCTCACTCCCACATCCTCTGGGTTTGCACTGGAAAGCAGCAAAGCCAGTCTGGTTTACCAGGCTGCAGCAGGGGGGTGAGCCCTGTCACCAAGCAGCAGAGGAGAGATATTTCATGGAAGTTGGCTTGTTCTTTGCTCTTTCTGGCTGTACTTGAAGAAGAGCCATAGGACAGTCACAGTCCTATGTAATGGGGTACCCACATCCTCTATATCAGGTACTCTCACAATGGTTTATAAGACAGTAAAGGAATAACATTCCAACCAGAACAGCAGGGAACAGAGTAAGCAAAAATACACCAAGGTCAGGCCTGCAGTTTGTCACCCAGCAGGGATCTGCATCCAGATCTGCTGAATCCCAGTATAGGATGGAACCACTGGAAAGTTTCCAGCAAATGCAGCATTAAACTTCCCAAAGGGAGCAAAGTGGAATGACAGCTTATTTGCCTCTGACCTACTAATAGCAGATGAAGAAGAGTGCAGGTCACACCTGCTTTTGGGCACTGCTGGAGCTCCTCTGGCCTTGCCTGTGGGCAGGAACTACTGCAAACAAGCTCCTCCTTCTTTGTTATCCTTACCCACTCTGCCCCACAGTGAATCCAAAGGCATGTGGATTTCTTTCCTCAGACACAAGAGAAAGAAATCTAAGGCACTTTGCTCAAGAGAAAATCCCTTGAAAAACAGTTAATTTTGCAAAACCTCCAGTGGATCTGCACACACCATACTCCCCAAAGGCCCGATCCCAGGATCCAGCCCAGAAGGAAAATCAAAAGAAACAGAGAAGGACTGTGACAGGACCCTCCACAGGAGGAAACATCTGAAACTTCTGACAACTGAAAGCATATCAAAACATCTATGGAAAAGGAAATAGTCTGGAAACTGGATTAAGTCTCTCTTGGTATCTCATTATCATCCTGACTGTGAGAGAGAAGTCTTTTTTCACTGGGTATTTGTCCCTCTGGATTCAAACTGGAGTGGAAATTGTAGTTTATTAAAACTTAAATACACTTTTTGATAACTTTCCCAGACAAACAAAATGTTAATGCAAGTTTTGGCTTAGTCTTCACTTGGGAAATGACTCCTCCTCTGCAGCAGGATGAGCTCCAGCAGCTTTGTTATTCCACTCACCAGAGGCCCAAGTATCACCTGCGACGTGTCTGCGGCACACGTGGTCCCCTCACGTTTCACAGGCAGGGAGGGAAGGATGTGCACAGCTGACAGAAACAACACAGTGTTGGAGTTCTTTCCCTCAGAAATGAAGACTGAGGAAACATGGGAACAGACATGGAAGGTGCTCTAAGGAGAGAGGCAGCTGTTCACCTCAGGACAGGAGAAGTGCTCGGTTTTAATCACCCCGAGCTGCCATTGCAGGGGATAACTTTGCAGCAGATAGAACAACAAAGCACCAAAACAGAGTGAATGCAGAAGTCCCTTGTCAGCACTGGGAGCCTTTTAGATCAGGCTGGGCAAACATTTGTCAGGAATGATGTAAGGCAAATTGATGCTTACTTGGACAGAGAAATTGGGCTAGATGACTGTCAAGCTCTCTTCCAAGCCATTTTGATCTATGGCCCCACATTGAGGAACATCGAATGTCAACCAGTAATCCACACACATTCGGTTATCTGGGTCCCCAGAGACGCTCTGTGTCACCCCAGTGGAGTCACCCTGTCAGTCAGTGCCTCACAGGGGCAGCAGTCTCATTCCTACAAGACCACAGGTAGTTTATCCTCTGTGAGGATGAACATATTTCTTTCTCTCTCTAAAGTCCCTGGGAAAGGCCCTCTCACCCCACATCTTGGGCGGACACTGAAAGCACAGGTGGCACTTTGGGGTGCTCACGTGGACATTACACCAGAACAAGAATGGTTCTCTGTCTCTGACCTCCAGCCCTAGGGGGCCTTCAGGCCCCCCATCAACAGCATGAGGTACAACCCCAGTCCTGTACCAAGCTGTGAGTCCCCTTCCAGTTTGCCGACACAAGCCCAGTGTCGAAGCTGTTTCACCGGCACAGGAATCGAGGTTAAAGCCCCACTTTGCAGCTGCACCGACCCTTCTGCCCTCTGCTGACCCCAGTTCTCTCTGGCGGGGTCTGCCCCTCCCCACGCAGCGGGCAGGAGTCTCTCTAGCACGGACACAGCTAAACTGGGCCCGCAGCTCCATCTGCAGGGCTCTGCCAAACCGCGAGCCTTTCCCAGCTCGTCCTCGGGGCAGGGCAGTTATCCCGGTGGATCCCGCACACCTGGTGACCCCACAACACCGATGGGAGCACACACAGACCACACTCCTCAGGGGCCTGAAAGCAAACGAAGCTCCTCTCTGAAAGCACCACCTCGGGAATCAAATCACCGTTTTACTGGGTTCCAAAGACCCAGTAAATTCCCAGAAAATTCCGTGTATGTCAGACACTGGATTACGCACGCTGCCAAGGGAGGCGTCAGCCTCCTGCGGCTCCAGGGAGCTCTGCAGAGCTCACATGCACAGGGAGCTGAGGCAGCTCAGCCTCCTGCCCGCGGGCAGCACAGACACAGCCCAGGGGAGCCCCCTAAAACCACCACCTCCAGCGAGCTTTTCTGTCCCAAAATGAGCCCGGGCCAATACGTGTAAAGCACTGAGGAACACACTGTACGACACCAGCACATTCCCTGGGATGTGAGTCTGACAAGAACATCCAGCCTCTTGGGAGGAACAGCAATTTTTCTCCACTCTTTATGAAAAGGTCAGCAGCACCATGTGATTTTCCAAGACATATAACCCCTATGCAATGCAAATCCATGGAAATGCAAGCATTTTCACCATTGCTTTACTATAAATATAGGAATTTAACACTTGCCCTACTGGATTAGACCCACGGTCTGTCTCACAGGGGATTTGTTCTGCTCAGAGCTCGGACAAGTGACTGATTGATGCTTCCAAGAAAAAGCACACTGCCTTCCCCAGCACCCTCGGAGGGTCAGCTAACTGCAGCCTGCTGCAGGGGGACAGCCAGCCCCTGAAGAATGAAGCATGATGCTGTAAAACTCTCCCATAACCCAGCTTTTAAGGCATCCTGCAAAAGCAAGCTGTGCATGTTGCTCTCTTTCATACATGAACACTGGTAACAGCCAGGAGAAACCTGAAACATTTCTTTAAATTTAATTTCTAAACAGAGTCTGAGTAAATGAATTTTAAAAATATCCATCGATTACTATTAAAAACAAATCCACAACCAAACAGAACAACACCTCTGACTAAAATTTGAACTCATGGCTCTGGTAAAACTCTAGCAAAACAGAAATCAGCTGTGCTGAGGCTTTATTTCCAAACCTAGGCTCACGTGCACTTTAACTGATCTCTTTTAGTTCTCTCCTCCCCCAGATTTCCTTTACTGTGTTTGACCAGAGCAGGTACTACAGGCCAGAGAAGACTCACAGTTTCAAATAAAGAGTGTCCAGGACATGACTATCTCCTGGGGTGGATAAATGCAGCGTCAGAGGTACAAGGGGGAAAGGGCAGTGTGTGCACAGGGCTGCAAGAGCCCAGAGGGTGGGAAGGATCCAGCTGGAGACCCGAGCGCTGGGACATCAGCGAGAGCTCGGGGCTCTCTGGGGAAGCAGGGCCAGTGTTCAGCAGGTAAGGGGGAATGAAAGAGCAGGGAGAGTGGGAGAGGTAGAGGGGAAAGGGAGATGTATTAGTGCTCATGAAATGCCTCTGAATCTGCTGCAGCCTTCCCAACAGACTCAGTTTGCTGGTGCACCTCCTGTCTAATGTTTCTGGCAGTGCAGTCCCAGTCCAGCCTGGACAGGGCCTGACAGCACATCCCTGGCACACACAGACTGCAGGGTCACTGTCTGGACACTTCCACCCCTCCTGAGTGCTCACCTCCACTGGCCCAGCAACTGCTTCCATTTGGACACCAGATCCTTTCCTTTGCTGGCTTTCCTTCCTTCTCTCACTAGCTATGGTCAGGAAAGGAACTTGCAACACTGGAAACAGCAGCAACAGCAAGCAGCAGCTTGAATTTAATCTTGCCATTATTTATAATGTCATGATGTTGACTGTCCATTTCAGGGACTTCTCTCAGTGCTGTTTCAGACAGCCCTGCTCTGAGTCATCCTTCCCAAAGAGACAGACCTCAGCTATTCCCACACTGTCAAGAGACTGAGTCCTACTCCAAACTTAGCTTGCTGTCAAATTTTGTACAAGTCATTTCACCTCTTGTTTTCCAACTTCTCCATCTGCAAAACTGGAGTAGCAACTCTGGCCTTCTGTGTGAAGTCTTGCTAGTAAATGCCTGGCATGGAAGTTGGGCACTTGTATTACTATCAGAGCAATGTGTGGGTGCCAGGTGTTTTGTCAGGTCTGAAGAATTGCAGAGCAATTCCTGTAAAGACACTGATCTGAAGCACTATCTTTATTACAGCATTTTAACTGATTCTGGCAGCATCCACCAAGTGTCAAGGGCTGTAGATCAGGTATTGTAACATGTGCACTGATCCTTCAATGGCATGTCACTCAGCAGGAGTGGGAAACAAAGGCTGATTTACTGTTGGAGCATCAGGATCCTGGAACAGAACCAAATTTGAAATGTGCAGGTCAGTCATGTCCTGTTATACCTGCAAATCCATGTGCCAATATAAGCCAGACTTTGGACCTATCATCCAATCTGGTCACATTCTATATAAATGAATCTCAAGGCCAAAAAATAATGGAATCCTTTCTAGGTCAAATGAGTGATCTGGCACGTTGAGAAGCTGTATTTTTAATGAAATATCTGGAGCTGTGAACTCCATCTTGGGTCCTGAGATTAATGAGCCGCTTTAGCAGAGCACACTATAAAGTTTCCTGCAGCTCCCTGAGAAAGGTGAAACACTGAAACACTTCCACATGCTCAGCTGAACTTCTGCATCTCTGGGTGAAGTCTGTATTGGGAAATGAAGGGGTCTGTCACTGCATGGAGTCCAGCAAAGGGGAATGAAGTGGAGATTCCTTTCACCCAGCAAAAGGAGTTTTCCACAAGCTGTTCAGCCAGGCTCAAGAGCACAAAGCATCCTGCAAGGAGAGTTATGTCTGCTCCAGTTGTCATCTGCTTTGTTTCTGGATGTGTAGAAACCTAGGCCTGTGGGAAAAAGAATGACCAGCACTGTAAGTCTCACTCTGGGAGAATATGCCTCTACATCTATCCTATAAAAGCAGCAATTTTCCAATGGCAATAATCCCCCCAAGCCTGTCACTCCACCAGAAATGCTTACCTGTGTCAGAATTTATGACTCAGAAACACTTGCCAGGCTGTCTCAGGATATCAGAAGGCTGAGTCCCTATTTTGTCATAGACTGGCTTCAGCTGTGGCCCTTCCCTGGCTGAGTTCATCCAGTTCATCAGGGTGCAGGGACATATTCCACAAAGGACACAGACCTACACCTGAAGCAAGAATCTGAAGGTAAAAAAAGACTTACTTGCCACAGAAGTCCTTGTGAATGGCACGGAGGGTGAGTGGTAAGTTTGGGTGTGCCTGTAGCCAGTGCTCCACCATATCTGGGTGTCTGGGATCAACTTCCAGAAACACACTCCTGAAAAGACATGTTCAAGTGTAGAAAGCAGAGAGATGCACATGTTTAGCTTGTTAAATTGATAAAAATTAAGGTCTTTCCTTCTGGATGACTCCTACCAGTGGGAAATAAAAAGGTCAGCAAACGCACTGCAATCCAGTAATCCTAAAATAGATCATAGCTGTCTATTTTACATGCAGATCCCAACTGCCTCCTTCAGGGGAGAAAGTGTTGAACCTGGGGGGGAATTCTCATGGTACTTAAGCCCTTGTGTCAAGATGTAAGGAGCCCTTTTGAAGGTCATGCAGAGATACCACCAGCAATGTCTTCCTGAAGCCCCCAAAGATGTAAGGCCAGAATGCAGTTTTATGCTGCAAATGCACAGACACTGAGCACTGGCCTGGCAGCAGGAAGTTCCTCTGTGTGGAGGCAGCAGAGCCATGAAGTACAAGGCAGCACACACATCCTCCCACAGTAAATGTCTCCATAAATCAGTCATGAAAACACCACCAGCATTCAGGCCTACCCAAAACTCATCAGCCAGCCTCAGTCGGGGCACCAGGACTAGGCCTGGGCACTGCAGGGCTACTTCCATTTCTGGCAGGCTTTACAACCCCAGCTCACTTCCCATCTCCCCTCCTGTGATGGGGCAGAACCACCCCAGCTCAGAGGCGTGTGGAGGATGGAGCTGGTCATGGCCTGGGAGAGCACAGCAAGATACAACATCAACAGGCAGAGGACAGAGGCCAAGCCCCATCCTATGCTGTCCTGAGAACTCCTAAAACATCCCACACTGAATACTCCCTACAAATTCACCAAGCTGGGTGTGGATCTCATTTCTGACCCTAAAAAACTTCCACTCCTCAATGGGGGCTCCACCTTATACAATGAGCAAAAAGGGAAGGAAAAGAAATAATCCTAACAAACAACCCCATGGGACCAGTCTCTGTTGCTGGGAAGTTCTGAGGAGCATCTTCTGCTCCTGTGGTCATCCAAAGCATGAGGAATGAATTCTGCATGGAGTATGCCTCTCAGTTTTCCCATTCTTCTTCTCAGAACAGCAGATTTTCAATGACCTCTCTTATGCTGGCCAAGTGTCAGGAATATTCAGCAGGATGTGTGAATGCCCTGGCACATGAACAATGCATTCAGATTTTTGGTTATCAGCATGATGATCTTCAAAATGGATCCCACATGACAGAGAGCAGGAACAATCAGTCTTGAATACTAATCAGGGAGAAATTTAACATCTAAGAAACTATCCCTGGCTGATCTTCTTTCTCCTGGGATATTGAGCATTGTATACTGGCACAATAAACAAGTTTCCCCTAATTAAAGGGGAGGGAATAGAGATCTACATCCATCCTCCCAGAGTTCTACAATGCTTCTCCTTCCATCAGTTATTCACCTTAAAAAGTTCCCCTGCTTTTTGCACTCTCTTCCACGTTCTTTTTGTTCCTGCTTTGACCTTTAAAGGTTCCCACTTCAGTAATGACCATGAAACAGCACCACCAGTCAAGGAAGGCCTGTATCCCTTTATTAACCCATTTCAAGCTAATTTTGCTCATACACATGACATTTTCTAAAGTGCTATTATTAAATGGGGCAGTGGGGGTATAGTTCTGCAACTATTTTCCCTCTGTTTTGTTTTCATACAGGAAGGTGTAGAAGTTACAGAACTGAGTGGATAAAGGACACGGAATTCAAAGAGAGAGCAGTGCTTACCCAGAATCCTTCAGAAGAGAAGGAGCCAAAGCCAGAATTGTTTTGATGACTCTCATCCCATCATCTCCCCCATCCAAAGCATCAAGGTCCTCATAGCTGGAGTGTGGGAAAAAGATGACATTTAACAGCAATTAATGTGGCCCTTGAGAATGGATCACCCCAGGCTTCATGGAGAAAGGAGCACCAAACACAGCTGAGCTCCAGTGCTCCTAGAGCAGGGGACAGCACCCAGGGCTTTCCTGTAAAATACAGGGAGTGGAGGGCAGCTACCACTGGGCTGAGAAATTCTACTTTTAGCACCAGCAGAAAACATCCCCTGGAGTCTGCCTGAAGATCAGGAGCTGCAGCCAGGGGCTCACACTTCCAGCAGTGGGTCTGTTCTCTCTGTGTGAGCTGCACAGGGAGAAAAGGGGTTGCACAGCCAGGGCTTGGTGCTTGCTCTCAACCAAGCCAACAACCACATCAGCTGCCTGCTAACCCAGCAGAGCCAGCTGGGGTGGAGACAGCTCAGCTCTCAGAACTCTGCTGTGCATCTCATACAGAGGTGGGGGCAGGACCTTGTCCTGACACGCAGACAATCGAGTTTGGGGAAGAACCAGCACACGCAAAGTAGTTCCACATCCCAAAAGAGCTTATTCTTTTTTTTCTCTGCTTAAGACATGTACTGGGATGAGAATGGGTAGCAGCATTTCCACCCATCACAAAAAGCTGCTCAGATTACTCTTTCTTTCATAAACTCACACCAATTATTTAAAAAAAAGTCTAACAGGAAAAAGTCTCTGAAACAATTTTGGATTGAGAACTTGTTGGTTTCAAAGTGTGTGTGTTTTCCATTTTAATGAGTATTTAAAATACTTTGATACTGCTTCAGGCCTGTAAGCAGTATCAAAGTAACACTGAATTATTATATACCACATAAACACACCCACACTTTGCACATGTATACTACATTTGCATGTTTTGTGTGCAGTTGTGTGTAGTACAAGGAAGCAGACAGAAAACCTTGCTCCAAGGAACAAGAGAGGAAAAAATCTATTTGTCTGATTACCAGAGGATTTCTGCATCCAAGGAAGCCATGTCCTCATGGAAAACATATGGGGGGTTACTGACTATGACATCTATGGGGCCCCAGAGCAGCAGCTGTTTGGCAGAACCTAGAAAAGAAGAAGAATCACAACCAGCTCTGAACTGTGGTATCTTCCCTATAAGCTCAGTGTCAACATCCTACCCAGGGAACAGCCAAGCATCGACCTCACTGCTTAAGCCTCAGCAAATGTCAGTTTTAACTGGTTTCAGCCAAGTCTGGGTAAGACAAGTATCCTTCCCTGGTTCAACTCACCTAATTTCAGGTGAATAAGGCTGGGCATTTAATCTAAGCTAAATATATGGGCTCCCTCTAACATCAGTGGAGAGATAGGCATGTACAAGTTTATCTAAAGCATCCATGTCAACATGGAATGAATTACAACATGTACATATTTGCCTCTCCTCAGTAACAGCAAAGGGCACCTGTACTACCAGCTCAGACACAACCTTTGGACACCTAAAACCAGGAACAATTCACCTTCTGGTGTAGACAGGGACTTCTCTCAGCTGATCATATGGCCTGGAAATCTCTGAAGGGAAAAGCTTCACTGGCTCACTTCTTACTGACTTTCTTCTCTGTTAACTTCAACACCCTCCTGCCACCTGCATCCCAGAGGGGTCCCTTGGGTGTATGTCACACCTGCCTCCCCATCAAACAAAAAAGGGAGAAAGACAAAGGGGATTGTAACAGTGAAAAGAGTTACTGTGTGAAACATCTTGGTGGATGATGTGAATCCTCTCCTGGAGCTGCAGCCTGTAAAATTCCAGACGGAAGAACAGAAAGCTTAGGAGGCAAGTTTGTGTGGATTCATGAACAGCACATTCTACAAACAGATCAGTAAATATTACACCTCTTATCTGATACACTTACATCCCACCCCACTGACTGCAGCTGGATTCCCCAATTTAGGACCTGCTCTTTGCTCGAGGAACAAAATTCAAAGCAAAGAGCACACTCTGCACCCATGGTGATTCCAGAGTGTGGCTCCTCTATATTCTCCTTGCCAGGGGAAAATAGTTGAGACAGTGATCCTTAAGTCTTAGGAATCTTGAGCAAAGCTCCCTTGATGCTCCTGGGACAGAAAAGAGAGGCCAGTCTGAAAGTAGCCTTGGGCTTGGTGGCAGCCTGATACCACAGCAGAGGTCAGAGAAACAGGGAGAGTGACACAGCAAGGATGGAGAAGTTCCTCAGCCACGTGATCCACCCATCAAAATACCTCTCTCTTCTCCCCAGTTTTGCCTCTGGCCCTTGTGAGGACATTTGAACAATGTCAGAGGAAGTACTCTGCAAAGGCAGAAAGACCAGGCTGGTCAGGATCTACTGTAGGAGCAAGACTCCAAGCCTCCCACAGAAGATGCCATTCCCAGACCAGCAACAGCTGCCCTGTGAGCACACACAGGCATCAGGAAAGGGAGGGATTCCTGCACTGGGTGCCATGGGCACAGGATTGATTCAGTGAGAGTAGGACTCACCTAAGCATCTGGAGAACACAGCTGGGATAAGGGAGCTCTGAAAAGCAGGCAGGATCCAAGCTGGGTTCAGTCAAGCAGTTACACAGCTTATCCTGCTGGCTCCTCTCCCAAGAGCTACAGGGCACCACGCCATGGACAAGGTTTCAAGGATGCAATGAAAATATCCATGGAGAAATACGAGGTCCTCTGACAGGGTATTTACACTCCCTCATGCACTCTTAGGCCAACAAGCAATGCTAATAAGCAAGACAATTTTTCCCAGATGACAGAACAATAATCCACCAAGGAGGCAAAGATCTGGCCAGCTTTTACTATATCTATGAAAAATTGCAACAGAACTTGGTTCAACACTGACACTTCAGAAGGAAACCTCTGCTCTCCATTCTGTGTAACTGGGCTAGGAGGCAAAGGGTGACAGTGTGGTGACAAGCCTGGGAAGGGCCTGTTCCTACACATCTCTTCAGGCTCACTGTGAGCTGGGGCTGGGCTGCAAGTGAAGAAATACAGCTCAGTGCAGCCAGAACCAGAAGTATCCTGTCTCTGTAGCCCCAGTGCTGGCAGCAGCTTGGGAAAAAAGTGTATGTGGGCCCTGTGGACAGAAATTCCAGTTAATGAGCACCTCCTGAAACTCATGGACTCCATGAGAAACAGCAATAGGAATTCTTTGTGACATGGCTCTAATTAATGCCAAGGGCCCAGCATTTCCTGAGGACATGGATGCAGTCTGGAGCTCTGTACCCTTCACAATGTCTGCAGAGACTGGGATCCAGGACTCAGAAGCATTCTGGGATTCCAGCTCTGGAGCTCCCTGTGGTAGTGACAGTCCACAACAGCCTGACAGAAGAACCAACTGAGGAAGTGGAGCCACTAGGAAGGACAAGGTCAACCTGACAGACATCTGTCCTGATTTCAGGCACAAGGCTTTGATTCAGCAGCTCTGAACATCCAGGTGTCCAAACAGCTTGGGGCCCAGCAGCACCATTCCCACTAAACCAATTCTGCAAGGAGGATCCTGAGGGAGGCCACACTCAGAGCACAGCGGAGGAAAAGTGCTACTGGAGTGTGCAAGCTTATTTCTAGAGGAGCAAGGACAGACACAAGCACAGCAATAATGACCTAGGGAGCCACTTGTCCTTCACTCCTGAGTGACATAAACGTTCCTCCTGCTGCCCTGAGCTTCCTGAGTTCACAGAAAGGGATAAGAGGAGTTACCAAGAAACACTTTGAAAACCCTTTACAACAAACAGTGTGTAAGTACTATTGCTTTACTGAGGCTGCTGTCTTTACAAAGTGTGTTCACAAGTCAAAGAAAAAATACTCTGGTAAACATAAGCATTTTTTTCCAAGTTATTACACACTTTAGGAGCTCTACCAAACATTCTCTGGTTTCCAGTGGTGATAAAAATGAACTGCATGTACAAATACTGAGGAATCTTGGTCTTTCTCAAACAACAATTTACAAAAAACGAGTAATACATGGTCTTGTACCTGTGTGCATTCTCCCTGGTGAGATCCACAGCAGCCTCCTCTTTATCCATGGCTATGACCTGGCTCTGGGACAGAAAAAAGAGCCAACAAACCCCACGTGTTACAACATCAAAGTTCCCAAGCTCTGCCAAACATGCAAGATCAAAACTGACAACTGACTGTTCATCTTGGCTCCTGAAAGGAACAGCTCATGAAGAATGTATCTGGGGCACTGCTGGGATCGTGAGTCACGTCCAGTGAGGCACTAACGTCACCAAAGGCACTCTGCACCACAGCCAGGAGCCACCCAAACAGACAGGCCTCTGAGCTGACAGCAACAGTCACACTGAGTCACAGCATCTGACGTGCTCACAGCTCCTGGTAGCGTGAGACACAACACTGCCTAGTCTGGGGTAGACAGAGGCTGAAGGAAGATCACGTTGAAGGTTTCTCCTCTCTAACACAGACAGAATCCCTCCCAGCATTAACACAAGCACTTGGACAGAGGTTCTGGAATTTTCCATCTGTTATGCAGACACCTTTTACCTAGTTGCTCCACTGCAGTCCTTACACCACATTCACTGCCTGTATTGACTGCACGTACTTGACTGTGTGTCAAGTATCTGAGAGTTCTCCAGCAAAATGTTAAGAGGCAGGGCTACACAGCCAAGAGATTTGTTTGGCCTTCCATTCCACCTTGGGAAAAGCACAGGCAAAGGCCTAACTTGGTTTTGCTTTGCTTAATGCTTTTTAAGCACAGTTATTGGCAAGAATTTACACAGAGAACACATGCTTGAAGAAACTTGAAGAAACACCCTCATTTGCAGATGATGGTGTGATTTGCCATCATTCCTAAGGGGATGAGTTTCACAGCCCCAGGCTACAAACCACACACATGAAGCTGACCCTGAACGTGAAGGACGCAGCTGAGTCCATAAATGAAAAGTTGCTGCTGTTTTCTCAGTACCCTAGTGCCAAATTCTGCCTCAAACGCTACAGAGATTACACACTGTAAACTCCACTTAGCTGTCAGTGTGGGTACCACTAATTCTAATCAGTCAAGGCTCCTTATTTCTCTGGGCACAGTTGTTTGTGCTGGGAAAGGACTGTTATCAGTCACAGGGACAGACTGATACAGTTCTTTAACTTAACAAGCAAGGAAAAGAGCATGAAGCTCTTCTCCTAGCTCAGGAAATCAGACCAATTATGCTCTGAAGTCATGAAATTCAAGTATTAACCTTCTCAGGTCATTGGGAGGAGGAAACACCCCTCCCATTACAGGCACCAACCTCTAATTTTTACACAGCAAGGTTTACACTTCTACAGGAGGAGGGGTTGGCCACAGCAATTCTTGTTCATGAGAAGGAACTGGCTGGTCTGCACTTCTGAGGAAAGGGGAATACTTTCCCCTTAAGCACACACAGTGAGATCTTGGATTCACTTCTCGTTTTCCTTACCAAGAGTATCTCAGTAAACATGTCACAGGCCACAAGAATCAGGGGCAAGAAGGGCTTTGGTGACCCAGACCTCAGTCCCCTTCCTGCTCTTTTCACTTTGTTCAGAAGCTGTGGGTTGTTACCAGGGAACAAAAGACTTGTAAAAGGTGGTTTGGCAGTGGTGGCAGTGACATATGCTTGTCATATTGATCCCAAGTACTGACACTGCTATGGTAAGCCCTTCCCTGGATTCATTCAGTCTCCAGTCTCCTAGAGACAAGATCTTTTGGTTCACAGCAAGGTGATTTTTAGAGATGACTGCCCCATAAATTCAACTAATGAGTGTGTGCCCATGTCTCATCCCTCCTGCCCTCAGCCCAGGTTATCAGCTTAAACCAACACCCACCAGTGCTCCAGGCCAAGTGAGCTGTGACAGCTGAAGAATGAGCACATTCACTTCTTTCATTCTGATTATGTCTCTGCTGCTCCTGCAGACAGCTGGGGAGAGCAATTCCCAAATAACCCCCCTCTCCTTAGTATGAACTCACAGAGCCTGATTGCCACAGACCTGAGCTGCCCAAATCCCACCAGAGACACCTCAATGAAGATGAGCAGAGCGGGGCTGTCCTCTAGCCCAGGCACTGCTGGACCAGGAGCACTGAGGAAAGCTCACCTGTGGCAGTTTGCACAGCAGACTCAGAGCAATTGCTCCAGAGCCACAGCCGACCTCCAGGATCACAGGATGAGGAACAGGAACTGGGAAGCAGGGCCCTGAATTCGCACATTTCTGAGATTCTTCCTCCACAACTAAAGAGACCAGATCCTAACGAAAACAAACAAATATTACTGAGGGAGCTGTTTTGATTCACACCTTTGTGATCTGAGGACTGCAGTTTAAATTTCTCAACTGTGTACCCAGAGAAATGTATTTTTGTCGCTAATTTTAAAAACACAGATGGTAGCAATGGAACTGACGTGCCAGAAGTCACTTCAGCTCCATCTGCCCCACAGGGTGCTTTGATTAGCAACCAAATCCTCCGGATACAATTTCCCACAGATCCTCTGAAATCTTCTTGCACTGTTAGGAAAAGCAATAACCAAACAGCTGGAGCACATTATCTTCTGCAACACCATTTTATTTACTTCAGAATTTCAGCTTTCAGAATTTGCAAGCATCAAAATTTAAGATTTCTACACTGTCTCAGTAGGGTGTGTGATCTGGAGGAGCTGCTAACAGCATCTAAACTAATAATCCAACCTGCAGATGAAAAGCAAAGGCAATGGGTTACTAAATGATCCACATGAGCAGCTCCCTGCATGGATTTCAGATTGTGGGCTCCTACTATGTTTTAGTGGTATAAAGTCACATGGAATAGGTTTTCATCCATGCTCCTGTATCTGCATGCAGCTCTCTCATTGCTCCCTCCTCCCTCCCATCGCTCTCTTCTTTTTTAAATCCCTTCACAATGTCATGTAAAATCCAATACAGCAGAAAGGGTCTCCAAGATTTCCACATTTGTGAAAATAAGTGACTGGCCACAAGAGAAAACACACATGTGCCTCCCTCAGACTGCAGCATGAACTTCCCTTGTTATTCACTGGAGAAAACTCTAAGACAGAAAGCTCACAAACACCTTGAGTTCCTCAGCAGCTCAGCAGGTGCTCACAGCTCCCTGCAGTCCCACAGCAACACACAAACAAGGCCCTGCTGCCCAAGGCACTCCCACCACAGCTGGGATACTCCACTTGAGAGGTCTGCTTTGGACTTTTCCTCTAAATCCAGAAAGTCTGACAAAAGTAACAAAAAACAATTGGCTCGATTTTGCCAACAGGTAAAAATAAAATCCATTACCAGGAAAATAACCTGCCTCCCATTTTAACAAGGAAACTTGCATATTCTTGGCATAAGCAGGAATATTTAAAAGCAACAAGGCCTAGCAGGCAGGTCAGCTTCTCTTCTACTTTACAATGGCCTTTGTCAGGAGCCTGAACTGGGCAGGCTTGTACATAAGGGCATAAGGCCTTCCTTGGATCCATCCCCCAGCATGGGGTGCAGCCAAGAGATGCCCTGTGCACAGCTGCAGTGTTCATGAAGATATCTGCTGCTGCTGGTCACCCTTCATGTCAGGCCAGTCCACACCTGCAGTAAGTGGGGAGGGAGGATGCAAACAGGTACAAAAATGAAGTGTTCAGGTAGATGAGCTTTGATGACCCATCCCCAGAGCAGAGCTCCCAGGGCATGGGCTGTTTGGTCAGACAGCATTTTCTGAGCTTTCCCACAAGACATGAACTGCTTTAAACGTACTGAAGTACTGGGCCCCTGCATACAAACACCCCCCCAGTGCTGAGAGAACAGAAGTGAAGCTTGCACTGCTTCACAGTCGGGGATGGAGAGGGATTTTCAACTCAGCTGTGTTAGGCCTTGCTGCTATTCCAGCAGCCTGGCTCTGCCAACAACAGCCTGTTGGGAGCCACTGGTGCCTTGTCTTTCTTTAGGCTCCTTTTCACAGCCACAACCATGTGGGGCCTTCAGGGGCTTTCCAGCAACAAGCACTTTGACTGTTTTCATTGTTTTCTCCCACATCTCCATTTGCTGAGCAGGAAAGAGTCAGTCTGCAAAGATGAGTTTGGTGACTGACACCTAAGTAGCCCCAGCCAGGGATGAGGAGTCACAGCACAATGCCCTGCCCTGGTCACTGTGTCATTATTGGCATTGCTCTCATACAGGATTTTGCTCACAGCCTCCAAAATCACATTTTGCTCACTGCTGCTCTGGCATTTCTTTCCTAGACAGCAATGGATGAAAACATTCTCACAGGCCTCCAACTTGTAGGAAACCATTAGAGGACTATCAGACAACAACAGGGAAAAATAAAACACCTTATCTACCCACTTTTGTGTAAAAATGGCTTTGGCCATTCAGCCAACAGCTCCAGATGAATCAGTCTGAGAACACTCTGGCAGTGGAGACAGCCAGAGATTGGAACCACAGCTGGTTTGGCAAAGCAGGTGCTGATGATTCCAAGAGGCACCCAAAAAGTTCTGCTTGGCCATTAAATCACTCTTTGAAATACCAGCCATTTCTGCACACTTACAAATATTTCCAGGAAATCTCCACAGTAACTCAGAACCATCTGTTCCTGGAGTAGCACAAGTTACTGATTACAAATGTCCAAATGTGACTTCCACACACCAGAACTATTCTCAGCATTTATTAACTTCCTTAAAGTTTGTCATTAGCAATTTCAAGCTTGGTGGTTTTTAATGGAATGTCTACTTTACACATTCCACAGTGAAAATATTTTACGGTGCTTGCCAAAGCTCCTAATTAAATATGGCCCATCTCAGCTTTTACCACATGTGCAAATGAAATGAGATGTTGGTATTCCTTAGGCTTTGTATCCTGCTTCCCGACCCCCCTTTGTCTCGTTGTCTTGGTTATTTCATATGCTCCTTACTGAGGCAAAGGCTGGTTCTCTCATAATATGCATGTTTATCATAATAGTACCAAATTAAAAGATATTAAAAATAATGTGACAACCTAAAGAAACGACATCTTTTTCCAGACATAAGTATCTCACTGCAATAAAAAGTTGAATAATTATGAAAATAATTATTCGACTTGATTGATGAGCAAAGATGAAGGTTTTTTAACTGGCAAAGAACCAGGAAAATCCAGCAACCATGACACAGAGCGTGTCCAGTCATCCCACTGCCATTGCCACTAGATTTCCTTCTCGGAAAACAGGAATGATTAAATTATCCTAAATTGTTTTGAAACCATTTTCTTCAGATTCTTCTCAGTATTTTTCATCTTCTAGCAAATGATTCAGTGAAAATCTGTGCTTTTCCAAGCACACCACCATCTCCAAAATATCAGCACTGCAAATTGATAAATTACAGCACTTTGCAGAACCCCTTTCAAATCTCATCTTGGGAGATGATGTATTTCTGGCCAAGCATTACAGTGTTCATAGAGACTACAAAATACCCTGCAGGTCAGACATTCCCGACCTCTGCACAAGAATCCGACTGGAACAACACCAGGGAAGAGCAACAAAGGGGTTGATGGTACAAAAAAAGAGATGCCAGTCCCAGACAGAAAAGCTGGGACAACAGCAGCTGGCCAAAGGCTGGGCAGGATACCCCACATCTTCTCAGCTGAACAGATTCAGAGCACAACCATCTCATATATAAAAGCCATTTTAACTGTCAGTTTGATCACCAGCTTTAAAGGCTGGAGATGAAATGACAAAAGTTCCACCGGGACAGAAGAGAAAACACTTTGGCAGCCTTGGTGAGTAACCCTGGGAATGTGTTAGGTAAATTCAGTGGGACCTAGCACTCTAAACTGAAATGGCAGGCTGTTCAGCAGGGCTTACCATCACTCACACCATTTACAGGGTTCAATACACAGTCAATACATCCTGGAGAGAAATGTCCCTCACCACAGAAAAATGCTAATTTTGGAGAAAACAAAGACTTGACAATGAGCGTCTCTAAAACCTGGAGAACAAGTCAGCTTGTTCAGATGCCCTGTCTACAATATCTAAAGAAATGGTGCTTGGCTGCTCCTGAATTGGCTTTTTTTGTTGTTGTTTTTACTGTTGCAGATAAAAAAAAAACGTAAACACAATTTAAAAAAATCAAAGTGATGTATTAAGGAGCAAGTAAAATCATAAATTAAAAAAGTATTTTAGAAATGTGACCCCATTCCACATTTGCCCACAGCATTCCAACCACTGGGTAGGATGAATGCTCAATTGTGGAGTCATTAGAATTCAAATTATTGCTTACAGTATGAGTCATTATTGTCAGTAACAACACAGTCCACACTAAAAATCCTGCTGACCAGTGGTACAGGTACTGACAGAACTACTTTTAACCTGGAGCCTGGTGTACACACACATGGCTGTAAGTCCCAGCCACCTCTGAAACCTGTGCATCCATGAGAGTGGCAAGTGAGGTGCAAGGCAAAGTATCTGGAAGGGTTTTTAGATTGCACTGGGCTGAAGGTGACACAGGCATCAAGTGATGGGTTTTCAGGGACCTACACTCTATTGCTTAGCACAAAAGAGTGCTACAGACCCTCTGTGTCTTTGCCAGAAGAGAATTTAAAAATCTATGGGGGAAAATGCCAGACATCCTTGGGAGGGAGAAGGATATTCAGTCCTGACTAGCAAAGGAAGAGCTTGGAAAGACTAGAAGAGATCTATTAGTGTATTTAGTCTAGAAAAGTGAAGATAGAGAGGATCTCATTAATGAATAAAAATAGCAGGTGCCAAGAGGATGGTGCCAGACTCTTCAGTGGTGCCCAACAACAGAAGGAGGAGCAATGGCCATAAGCTAAAACACAGCAAGTTTCACCTCAACATGAGGAAGAACTTCGTTCTGTTGCATGTGGCAGAGCCCTGGAACAGGGAGGGTGTGGAGTGTCCCTCTCTGTAGACATCCAAACCAACCTGGACACCTTCCTGTGTCACCTGCTCCAGGTGGCCCTGCCTTGGCAAGGGGGCTGGACTGGGTGATCTCCAGAGGTCCCTTCCAGCCCTAACTATTCTGGGATTCTGTGATTGCCTGGGGTTCCACGTACAGGGGACACAAATATTTGCTTCCGATGCTACTTAATTTCCAGCACTCAAGAGGCTCTCAAGCTTTTGTCTCTCAGCCAAGCCGCTCTCACCTCACGATTCCAGGAAGTCTTGCTTCACTGCCAGATTCACCCTAAGTTCACACTGTCATTTATTTGGGTTTTCTCTCTCCCCCCCCCCATCTTCTCTGTTGAGCGAAACAAAGGCAAACCCTTGTGCACACCTCCGGCTT